GAAGCAACCAATCACAAAACACATCGCCATCGACATCATAAAAATGTTGATGTACTGACATTTAAATGCTCGATATCCGTGCTTTTTCAATATTTTTCCTGCTGATTCGTGACTTATCTGCATTTCTCGACTAATTTCTCTTAAAGAAACAGTTTTGTCAACCTCAACCATAGCAAGAACGTTAATCTCAGCCTCCTCATTTATGATAAACCTCTGTCCTGCCTCTCGATTCCCCTCTTGCCTAAAACGATTCTCAACAAACGGAAAATACTGATGGGATGGATGTTCCCGATTGGGATATCTCTGAGCATACAACTCAGCAGCATTCCTTGAATTTCTGTGACATTCTTCAAACAATAACAACATATCCACTTTTTCACTTTGAGTATACATTATTTTGACGGATTATCGAACTAAAATTTAACGAAAATCAAGAAAAGTTCACCTTCTGCTCTTGAAGCTTATGTCACTGTCATAACCTAAGTAAGTGTTTTGTTCTCCCAAGAAGACTTGATCGAAATAACTGCAAAATATTATGCATCATGCATATCCTCGGCACACTTGACAAAAGTAAATAAATTATTATGAAGTATTTTCGTCAGTAATATTCAATTAATTTATGTTCTTATTTTTATTCCAATCGCAAATAAATTAGTATCGTTAGATTCGTCAAAATATCCTTTCTTCGGAAAGTGCTTGTCAAAAAATGGTCGCCATTTGAAAAATAATAGTTAGACACGAAAATGTAATTTTGCCAACTTTTCGTATTCATATATCTATCATAAGTACTTGTCACTAAAACTTCGGGATTGTAATCTTCTCACCTGAGGTCCTTAGATTAGTTTACTTCCGATCATGGCCACCTAGATGTAATTTCAAAAGTGACTCCGAAAAAATTAAGTATAGGCATAAAAATTTTCGAAAATGTTACATTCTGATCTAGAATTGTCTCAGAAATCCAAAAATGTTACAATATACAGGGTGTTCCATTTAAAAATCTAGAACCGGAGCCATTTCCGGTGAAACCGGAAGTGACCGGAAAGTGAAAAATATGTGAAAACTCTCCTCTTCACATAACATTTACCTTTACCAAATATCATTTTGATACACCTTATGGTCTAGAAGTTATGACTTGTCTAATATAGATTCGTTGACACCCGGTATAGTTGATTCTTGACGTTTTCACACCCCATAACAAAACATCATGTAAATGCGATGAACTCAATGTGAACACCTCTCTGATCCTCTGTGAAAGACGAGTGAGGCAGTAAGATTGTTCGGGCAACCCGCGATGGTACCTAATATAGGTATTATCTCTTTTTATCCTACGTTAGCTAATGGGAAGCGCTCGCATTATTTGAAATATTTTCTCGTTTTCTGCTCCTATTCAAGAGTAGATGTGATTAAATATAAATATTCATTTAGGAAAAAGGATTATGATATGCAATGGATTATTATTCGAAAATAATTATTGATTTTTTTATCGACTCAAAAGGGAAATTTCATTCTCATTCGTACAGGATTGGGAAGCCAAATGTACACAAAATTGAAATTATATATTCTCAATCAAATGTCACAATATATTGTACAGCCCCAGCCAACATTGAACTACCGGGAGAAGTCTGGCCTAGTGTCTGGGAAAGTGACGATCGATGTCGGGGTATTGATAATGGGCCGATGATTTTCCATCCATTAGTTAAAAATACAATGGACCTTGTAATGGTAAGATGTGTGGAACCAGTTGAACACTAACGAGTTTTGGCCCTTTGCTGGCTAATAATCTGCTCACTTCTTATATCCCTCTGGTGGATGTTCTGGGAACGTTATTAACTCATGCAACAGTATTTCGTTTCTCATACTTGATACCAGAATTCTTCCTTCTTAGGAAAGGCCACTGATTACTGATGAAGAATTTTATATTCCAGGAGTACCTACCTCGCAACGAAGAATTAATTTTGAATAAATAATGCTACCCTGATGACATTTAGATGTAGATACTATCTGGTAAGCAGACAATGTGAGAAGTTTCATCATGAAAAGAGAGAGAGTGCCATTCATAATTTTTTTTCTTGAAATCTGGTATGTTTGATATGTTATGATATGAGAGGGTTACATCATAAAATATAGAGTTCATATCCATTAAACCCCTAAAACCACTACCCCTCCCCCTACCTCGATAGTATGTAACTAATGTCGATAATTGGCCATTAGAGTCCCATCATTTCTATATGTGCTGGGCATGCTATGGGAAACACAATGTGTCGATTATGTTGTACTGGTCTTTTGCCGGAGAACTGAATATATGATTGCTAGGTACCCAGCACTGGGACCAGCTGCCGGCCGCAGTGTGCTGATATACAGAGTCCCGCATGTGGGACCATTTAATGGGCCGCTGATGTCAGGTATGGGAAAAATATATTAGGCCATCAATGTCCCTTATCAAAATGTTTGCTGGGGCACTATTAGAAGAAAAAGACAAAACGATAGAAAACATTTGCATCCAAAGGCAATAGAATATAAATAACCATTGTTTATCAATTCGAAATCACAAACCTTTTCAACAACAATCAATTCACACCAACAAATTCAGTTCTTTTGAAGAAACAAAATACGCCAAATTTAGCGATAATTCGCAATGAAGTTTAGATAAAACAAAAGATCTCAAGTACTCGATCCAATCATTGGATAATTGAAAATTGATACACCAATCCGCCATTAAACAACACAAGTCTGAAAGAGACAGGTTACCGTAACACAAACTATCTTTGTTGTAGTTGCCCCCAACACATTCTGTGCTATTCGAGAAAACGGCAGTCTCCCTTTCAGTTGTTCACATTGTGTGAATGTAAGAGACTTGGCAACGTTGTGCTGAATGCTGAGAACTGACAAGTCGTTGCATGCGCCGTATTGCCACATTTTCTCGAGCGTTCACCGGGCCAAATGTCCTCTAGTGTGAATTAATATAATTATTATTTACACAAATAATGTATTATATAAGCAATAAGCCACAACACATGAGAGGCAACATTTTTAGAGAATTCATTTTTCAATGCTAATTAGGAATATTACCAATACATAATAATTGATCAGAATTCATGGAATATTGAAGTTGAATAGCTAATATTTCTGAAGTTCCAATCGTATTTCAACATATGGCAATTATACTATGGTCTGCCCCTACTTTACGAAATCTTGACGTGTCAGTTTTTACTCGCGATAAATTCCTAGCCGTTTGAAAATTACTGTGGCATTATTGATGATTTTGGCACCTTAAAATTGACCGGAAAATTCTACAAAAATATGAAATTGAGAGGTATTTGAGTGATAATTTTATTCAACTCGCCTATTATATACCTATACCTAAAAATCTGTAATTAATTTGGTAGACTTTTTTATTGGTACAGGATGATCAAAATCCAAAAATTGTTCAAAATATGGTTGGCGTGGTGCACCTTATTTAGTCTAAAGTTGCACCACTATACCTATTACCCGTGAATCCATGAATGTAAAAAAATGAGTTATGATGTAACATTGTAGTTTTGTTAGAAAATCCCATGTTTTTTGGTTGTGGGTTATACATGCTGGTGCAGCGAATTAGGTACATAAATCATGTGTCACATTCAGCTAACTTTGACTGACATTCGGCATCTAAATGTGAAGTAGAAAGTGACCAAAAACGCCCCAAATATAGAGGATCTGGAGATATCGATGTGATTCACAAATCGAATTACGGCTGTGATCTCAATCATGATGGATGTGAATTGCACTGACATCTCTCAGATCAATTTGTATTCATTCACTGGGATACTTTGGTCATGTAATGTATTAGTCCGCCAAAGGCTGAATCACCTAGAACAGGTCTATCTCACGCCTGCTGAGGTGAGAATTCCAACCCTCAGAAAAATTCTAGGCTTCATTAAAAGTCTGGGATTGGAGGACTAAAACTAAATAAGGGTAATCACAATAAATCTTCTAGGTCGCAGTTCGCTCTGATCGATTGGCGACCCACCTACAATCTACATTTTTTTTATCGCTTGGAGCGCACACGAAAGGGAATCCCTAATGATTTGAGTCCGGCCATCAGCTAATCATTTCAATAAGATTTCGTGATCCACGAAATCTTATCCTGTCAGCTACTCGGCGTCCTAGAAGTGGTCAAAAATCCATTATGAGCTTTAGATCTTACTATTCTCAACACTGCAAACCTGTTTCAACTATTGGGAAGTCGGATTTCAGCTATGAATTACGAAAACATGCATATAGTCTGGTGTTTTCTTGGAGAAGAATATCAGGCCACTCCTGATAACCAAAATGGCAAAATAATATCTTTCAATATGTTGTAAGTACCACTTGTTTGTGCTCCAGAAGTTGCATGCTTTCATCATTATTAGTGGAAATATTCCACAATAGTACGAATTTTTGAAAATATATTTCGATCAACAGGGAGATTATTTGGAAACTACGGTTTCCAGAGGTGTTCACAAATAAAACGAATTTTAGATCACAATATTGTATTTGCCTGTAAAAATGTTAAAAATAAATAAGTTTCTGATATGAAACATTATAATATTTTCAATTAAAATATAAATCATATATAAATACAATCATCAACAATAATTTCCTAAATACTTTTTCCAAAAAGGTAAAGATTAAGTGGCTTAAGTAAGATCGGCATTAATGTTTCATTAGGTATATAAAAAATTATAAATTTTGTTCAACAATTAGAGTAGATAGAGCAAGAATACAACAATCGCAAAAATGTTCCAAATCAGAAAGTTAAAAACATAGAAAAGAAAAAATCTCAAGAGAAAAATAACAACATTGTTGATATGAAAACAGGTATACATAAATTGTTTATTTAGTAGCTTTTCAATTTTAAAGATTCAAAATACAATCCTAGATATTTACAATTATACATGCCACGTTCCACAGTCACAAATCCTGCTTTTATTAGTCAAAATAAATTATTTTCATAACGCCACACTACTTTTCATTATGCCTCATGCCAAATAGCTGTATGTGTCTTTCTGACCATCAGTTCTTTCGAGATATTCCTTTTCGATGAGAATGTCTATACATTTCTGCAACAAAACAAGAACATCAATAATAGTTAGTTGAAATATCTAGTTTTTTCACAAGGAAATAATTGCAATGAATAATTTAAGAATATTATCCAACAGAAACGCAGTTTTTCATTAGGTAACTATGAACGAATGTAAAAAACGTTACAAACGGTAAGATTTTTCTTTAAATGAAATACTCGTACAATAAATTAACCTAACATCGATTTGCTCAATTTATACAGGGTTGACCTTTCATAGTAGCAAAACTTTGACAATCGATAGATCTCATTTGAAGAATAAAAGTTTCTAGGTATATTGGTCATGAGCTTTGTTTTAAGGGCGCGCATCACAGTGAAATAGTTGGCCCACAGACACCAGTGAAACTATAAATATATCACAGCCGTCTAGTGGCGCCATAATTATAGTTTCATGTATTATTTCTACAGAATCCTTTAGATACATTTGATTCAATCAATAGGGAACCTCATCAATAGATGTCTCTGAATAATATTTGTGGCTGTACTAAGGGAACAGGTACAAAGTCACCTACAGTGTTGCCAGTATTTAATCAGAGTACGTCGCCAAATTAGTAGTAGTAGAAATTCATATGTGGAATGATATATTCCACATTATTAGATTTACCACCTAGTATTCCTATCCTGTGATGACCTCACCATAGAATGAAAGTCATACGATAGTTTATATCTAACATATATTATTGATTCTCTGTCACAGTGTTTGTGGCCAAACTCCTCTGAAACGGCTTGACCAATTCTTATGAAAATTTTTGTGCATTTTTGGTAGGTCTGATAGTCGATCGTTAACTATTTTTTAAATTGGAAACTCAAGATGGCGGATCCAATAAGGCGGACGAGTTTTCTAATTATGATCCGATTCTATTCAAAATCTCTGTACCTATCGGGTGGTTTTCGGGATTGAAAATAATGATACTTTCGTCAGAATAAGGAAATTAAATATGGTGGATCCAATATGGCGGACGAGTTTTGTACTTGTGATCCGAATATTTTCAAAATTGGTATCTGGGGGTTTTCGGTATCGGAGAATATGATTCTTTTGTCAAAATCAGAAAAATAAAGATGGCGGATCCAATATGGTAGAGTTTTGTAATTATAAAAAAATTCCAATACCTACCTCCTATCCCTATCCTCCCTAGGAACGCACGATGTTCTTTGAACATTTCTTTGAACATTATAGGGATTCCCTCTCGTGCGCTCCAAGCGATAAAAAAAATTATCCTATTCTATTCAAAATTGGTATTTGGGGGTTTTTGGTATCGGAGTTTATGATTCTTTTGTCAACATTTGAAAAATAAAGATATCGGATCCAATATGGCGGACGAGTTTTGTTCATGATCCGATTATTTTCAAAATTGGTAGGTATCTGAGGGTTTTCGGTATCGGGGAATATGATTCTTTTGTCAAAATCAGAAAAATGAAGATGACGGATCCAATATGGTAGAGTTTCGTAATTATAACCCTATTCTATTCAAAATTGGTATTTGGGGGTTTTCGGTATCGGAGTTTATGATTCTTTTGACAAAATTAGGAAATTGAAGATGGCGGATCCAATTTGCATATTGGATCCGGATCTATAGGTTCCCGTTGAAAGGGATTTTCTCTTTTTATTTCAGAGTTCTGTGGCCAGAGAATGAAGAAGTTATACGTATCATTGTACCTTTGGTTCTTATAATCATTTGAACTTCATTTCAGACACATTTACCTGATGAAAATAGATTAGATGTTTATGATATATTATTATCAAAAATTTTTCCCATATGATGCCAACTTTATGAATTATACTGTAGAGTGTAGAAACATAATATAAACAAAACACCTGCTAACGTCAAATGGTTCTCGCTCTGTGCGGATGACTCGAATCTACTTGGATGGTAAAGCCACAAAGCCATTGTATTTGGACTCGCGAATCTCGCGATACTCATCTCATTCCCAGAAGCCCTAGTCGTCTCAATAAGTCGCCTGTTGCCAAGTTCTATTTTTGGATTTTTTGGTCGCCAAAATAGGTTCAGAGATAGCCCAATTGTCGAGAAATCGCCCATACTGGCAACACTGGTCACTTATCGATTTTTCTTTGGAGTCAGTTGGAATCGTTCGGGGAATCACACACACTGCCTGATACCACGACACCGCTCGCTCCGCCAGTTGCAGTGCTGCCAGTGTTCTGCTATTTTATATTATAACACTGATGTTTTTGTATATATCAGTAGGGGTCAATCGTTCATGTAGGTAACGGACTAACTCGACGTCGACCCGGGCCCCGGGCACAGATCCTACGGTCACGTTAGCCATCGTTAGCTGAGGGAACGAGCTGGTTACGTCAGAGACTTCTGGCCTTATGTTCACGTGGGTAACTGTCAATCCGTCTATAAATACAATTTTTATAGAACAAAACTGTTTTTGTTTTTTGAAATATCCTATTTCGGTAAGTGTGAAAGTATTAAATAGAATTGTCACGAAAGAGATGAAAAAATCCGAAGAATTTTCCCTTATTTCCCTAGTAAAAATGAATTTAGTAATTTGTCCTTTGAACTAGGGACATTTCCTTAGACCTGGCATCACTGGTCACTGGTTGGAACTAAGTAGCACCAGATTTCTAATTCTTAGCAAATGAGAAAAAGAGGAAAGGATTGATTACTTGCTTTCATAAAAAATTATATTTTGAGTTTCATGTGGGCCTATATCACAAAAGACAATATTTTGTTTATGCCTACACTGATTTTTAATTATGAATATTACCTGTCATGAGTGGATTATGTATACTTACTTCAACACCAATTTTTCAAATGGGAATTCAAGATAATCAAAACTATTTTCTATAAATTGGAAAAACAGTGGTGCATGGTTACGTTACGATTGGGATATGGGATATGAGAATTTCTCAATTTTGACCAAATGATCATAATCTCCGACCCCGAAAACCCCCAAATACCAATTTTGAATAGAATTGGTCGATAATTACAAAACTCGTCCGCCATATTGGATCCGCCATCTTGGATTTCCAAATTTTGAAGAAATAATTGTTATCTCCGACTCCGAAAACCCCCTAGATACCAATTTTGAACAGAATCGGATCATATTTGAACAACTCGTCTGCCATATTGTATCCGCCATTCTGAATCTCCTCATTTTGACGAAGAAATCATAATATCCGACCCCGAAAACCCTCAGATGCCAATTTTGAATAGAATCGGATAACAAAACTCGTCCGCCATATTGGATATCCGCCATCTTGAATTTTCAATTTGAAAAATCGTTTACGACTGATTCTCAGACCTACCGAATATGCACAAAAATCTTCATAAAAATCGGCCAAGCCGTTCGGAGGAGTTTGGCGTCAAACACCGTGACAGGGACAGGAGAATTTTATATATGAGGTTAATATTATCAATCAACAGAGTCAGTCATGCAATACACTCGATAGACTATAAAAAGAAAAATAAGCGCAATTATTCACAAAAAATCGCAATGACGCAAAACGAAGTTGAAAAGCGCCTTATTGGCAACACTGTTCCCCAGACCCAGAAAGAAGAAATGAATAAAAAGAAAACTGTAATGTTTGTATTAGTTCTTGAAGGAGCGCAGCACGGTAGTTTCATGTGTAGCCCTCTGAAAGACAATAGCTGAACTACTCTGCCACTGTCGAAACCTCGCTAACAATATGGCGATATTGAAAATAGATGCAGAAACGTCAGAATTAATTTCACGCACAATACATTCCCAAACGACAATGTTCCAGAAGCTGATTATTTCGTCAAAAATTTATTGAATTGCTAACTTAGGGTATGCCAGGTTTTTATTCGATTCTGTTACACAAACGTTGTCAATGTTATTGTTTTTCATTACCATATATTATCTTTTTACACAAATCGAATTTCGCTGGAAAATTCCTTCATATCCTATTCTCAACCTTCGTCTTTAATATGTACCAACCACTTTTGCGCTTACACTTATAGTTTATTAATGATTTGGTACCAAACTGACGTCTGCATGGCAGTTTTGAATGATGCGCCCTCTTAAGATACAGAGCGTTGAAACTGAAAATGAAATTACAATTATTTTTATAAACATCTTGTTATTGTTATAGCAAAAGTTAGTCTGCTTTTTGACTGAAATAGTGCCAGCATTTTAAAATGATCTTTCGTGGTTGTCCACTTATCATAGAGCAGGTTCTTGAATGAAATGTCACTGGAACATAACAAAAGGATATTTTTTATGTACAACTGAACATTATTGAATATTTTATAATAAATTTTGAAAATTTTACATTAATACCTGTTCAACAAAAACATTGACATTTCCCCAACAAAGCCACTCTAGAATTAATATCAGCTAAAAATATTATGAATGTATTTGCTCAGATATTTGGTATGCCACCAGAATATCTTATATTATTATTGGGCGATTTTCTAGTAATTAAAGAAAAATATCTTTTTCTCTCAACTTTAACGCCGTGAATCTCGAAAACGAACAATGTTTATAGAAACTTTTCTTCTTGAAAGAGAGTCTTCTATCAATTTTTAGAGTTATACTACTAGAAAGTGGAACACTCTATATGAAAAACCTAGAATCACAAGACTAAGAGATTGTGGGGGAATGAGGGCTAACATTATACAGGGTGAGTCATGACTAATCATCCATAGCCTAATGGCAGATAGAGTTGATATACATGGTGTTATTTAAGTACGTGGCCAAACTTGAAGGGGTGATTCTTTGGGTGATTCTAAGACGAAAAGTTCATATAAACATAGGTCCGGTAATGCTTCGTTTTCAAGATACAGGGTGTCAAAATTTTTAAAAGAAATCGTTTTTTTCGTGAATATCTAAATAACCCTTCAACCGATTTTATTGAAATTTGGCAGTGTTATTCAAGGTCGTAATGAGCTCATTTAACCCTAACTATATCAGAATTATCATGTCCAGTGGCGTCCCGGAAGGCACTGTAACCAATATTTTTGACAGAAAAAATGTGCGCCACTGATT